TGCTGACGAGGTGGATACCGTACTAGACGCTGATTCAGACCGAATCGGCTTGTTATGCTGTCATCCTACATCGGCATTAAGCCAGCACTAAATGTATGCGAGTTCGTAGTTGACTCTCGTCGACGGTGGATGAAGGCAACCGAACTGGGAATAACTGAACACCAGAAAGTCGGAAATTGCAGAGACACACGTCGCCACGTAGTAATATCTTCCCTAAAGCTTTCTACCCCGTCCGATTCTTTGGTGCATATATGCCGATGCAGGAACCGTTGAAAGTGCTCCCTATTCGCGCACCATGCGATCTCACGAGCGACAACTGAGAACAAGAGATATCTATCCGAGCACATCTACCAGCCAAACCTTCCAGGGCCGTTTCACTCTGAACAAAAGGAATTCGAGTACATATTCTCCATTTTCGTTCCTATCGTTTTAACTAACATGATACAGTTTTCCGTCCATATTGTAATACATTAAAATGACATATTGTGTCTATGCGATTGTGATCTTCTTGGGCTCCGTCTCCGAAGACGTCTTGGGGAATGTCACCGTTAACAGGCCATTGTCAAGGGAGGCCTTTATATCTTCCTCCTGCAGATACATTAGTACCTCATTCTCCTCGAGGAAATTTCTCTTACCTTGACTCCCTGAGGAAGCCTCAACGTCCTAGAGAACTTGCCGAACCTGCGCTCCCGAACGGCATAGCCCTTCTCCTCGTGCTCCGACGAGGTTTTGCTCTCCCCGGACACAGTAAGGCGGCCGTCGTGCACGTCGATCTCCACATCCTCCTTCTTGAGACCTGGGAGCTCGAACGTCGCGGTAACGGTGTTCTTGGCCGCATCTTCGTGAAGGTCCATTCTGTGGAGAAATATGTTAAAAACCTGTCATCACTGGAGTCAATGAGAAACATACCTTGGCTTTAATGCCTTCGTAGCAGTATTGTCCGAGTCATGCGCAGCCTGTAATTGTTGGCTGGCGGGACGAGTGATCGCATCAAATAGACGATCGAAGTTGTAGAAGGGCTCGTAGTAGTAGACAGACATTACAGTGGTTTGGATGATGGGGAGGTATCGACGTGCAACAGTCTTTTATACTCCTCTGAATCTTACTCGAACTTTCTGTTGCAGGTGACGACCCCACCGAAATACAGCTCGAAGAAAATTCTCGAACTTTCCGAACGGGCGGCTCGGACTCGCGATAGTCATATTCTCGACATGACTAAGGGACGGAAAAATGGTCCAGATAGGGAACAGTGTCCATGAAACGCACCATGGAACTCAAATGTACTTTCAATACAGAAATCAAAGGCGAATCCTTTGTTTCCGGTGATCTACTTTTGAAAATTTAAAGTTGTCGGGATTTGCCGAACTTCCCTCTCCTAGACCATCACTCGACAGGCGCATATACTCGAGTAACAGGTGCTCAAGCCTAACGTACCTATAATTAACTAACCGAGCAACAATAGAAAGACGCCAAGGTCGCCGCTTGTCAGCGTTTTCCGTGGTGCATTGCTGCTGACTTGTGTTAAGCATGGCATTGATACAATCCGAGAATCATGAAAAAAATTACCCAGGCGTCAAAACGTTGAAGTATACTTGCTCACGGCATAGTGTCTCGTAGACGGAGGCTACATACCCACGGAAAAGAAACAGCCTAGGCAGCTTCTGTCTTCAGGATCTAGTAATCCTTTGGCTCGATATCGCTTTACATCGCCGTGAAGTTCGACGTGACTTTTGCATAGTAAGGGCTGTTGTCGCACCCGTCTGATCGCTTTCTCGCTATCTGTAGGACCATTTAAGACTGCCGTTGAGCTATTCAATGAAAGTCATTGGTACGTTTGTGATATCTTGAATGCCTTTCTTAATTCCCAATATTCCTGGCAGGGTCATATTGAACCGTTGCATCATCGCTACATCCTTGCGAAAATCACTGGGTGATCTAATGTTCAAATTTCTTCAATGCATGGAACCATTCACTTCTCAATCTTTGCTTCGGACATCAACCGAATCATACTCCTTACGATTTACATTGTTGACAAGCACACTGCCCATTGCACGTGTAGCGCCGTGTTCTTCCCTAATCTGCTTTTGAGATCCTCCTTAATCTAAAGAGACAGAAAAGCGGTTCAACACTTCCTATCGCGTCGATGAAACTTGGTGGTACAGGCCGTTCAATAGTGCTACCACACCTACACACTTACAAATGGAGCTAACACTCCCGAGCAGGGTGGTACTGCATTGATACGACTGTCAGCACCTGGCTGATTGAGGCCACCAATAAATAGAGCCGGTCACCCAGATCCCCGATCTGTGCTATGATGCCATGAGTAATCTGGCAGGCTCACGGAAGAAACGTATTCCGGCGTGGATATGGATTAGTGACCGGCCTGGGCGACAACGCGACTTGGGAACGACGTGATGTTGTTGGACGATTCCGGCGAAACGTGTGGAGATCTGTCGGTTTGATTGCAGCTATCAACGTCGGCAGTTCAACCACCTCTGACCCGTTTACAAAAATCCAAGAAAGAATGCGATGAAGATCGTGCCACTATGTCACCTCCTCGTCCACGGCATTGCTGCCCATACCTGGTGGAATTCTGTCTAAATTATTCCCGCGTCTATCGTAGGAGCCTTGGGAGAGACGTCCGTATCACTTCCATCGTTAATACCCGGAAGTAAGCCGTGGAAGACGAAAAGACGAAATACGATGAGGAAACCCCGATCTGGCGTCCATGGCGCTAATTTTATGGACGAGAATGATTTGGAGGCACTATAGCAAGGAATGGTACGTGGGGAAAGATGTAGCTGCGGAGGCCAGAAACAAACGATATCACGGTTATCTCGGTGGCCAACCGTTTCTGCTGGTGACAGTGACGATATCGGTGAAGCTTCGACGATCGACTGCTTAACTAAGTCAGCCCTTCCCTGCCTCAATCTACGCCTGTTTCACTGAATAGAACACAGATTTTGAGATCCATCGTACTATGTACGTTCTTATTCTAATGTTGCACCAAGCTCTAAGTGATTTTCTTCGCCGTCTCTGGTGTCGCTGGGAACGTCAACCTCAATCGTCCGCTTTTGAGAGAAATTTTGACGTCCTTTCTCTACAAATGCCTTCAGCCCTTGTACTCATGTTATTAGGGATATTATCGCACGCTTACCTCGGTTCCGGGAGGAGTCCTCAAACACCTGCAGAACACGCCGATGTTGCGCTCACCAAGGCTGTAGCCGGCCTCCTCCACGTCCGGAGTTTCTCCCCAGACCATGATCTCACCGTCATCCCAAGTAGTGTGGATGTCTTCTTTCCTGAGACCGGGTAGTTCGAGGATAGCGCTGACAGTGTTCGTAGCTCTATCTTCGGAGACGTCCATGCTATAGACGTTAAGCCGGGGACGCTATGAAGGCAAACACCGGACAACGTACAAGGTAAGGAAAGTTTTTGCTAGAACTAGTTGCGAGAGTATAGGATTGGGGTCAATGGTGTAGCCCAGCGTAGGACGGGAGGCAGATGGTGACATTGTCTGCTATGTGCTGGGGAAGGCTGGGGATAAAGAAATAAATGTGCAGGCGCCTTTATAATCTCTCGGTTGTTGCTTGTATGTTCCGGTGCCGTGCCACTCCGAACTCCTCGAAGCCCTTATTCCGGTTATAAATTTGTTCGACGGCCATCTATCTTTGTTCTTGCAACGAGGCCATATAGGAGTAATCTACAATTAGTGTCCTTTGGCTACTCGAACACACATGCTATCCATCAGATGATGGGAATAGCCGACACGACGAACGTTGCGGGATAACTTCCGAGTCCCCGTATGAAGTAGGGCTAGAGCTAGAGGCGACAGGGTACACGATAAGACGTACGAATAAATTCTATGAACAACAGTTTCTCAAAGTGGCAAGTGCTGCCTGTCCGAGTCGCGTGCTCCTCTTCTTTCACTCTTTGGTGCCCGGCATCGTCTTGTCCAGATATCACCCTGCCTGCGTTTTCCAGCACGTTCCACTTTATCCTCTCCGAGCGGACAGTCTTGCGAATGACATCGTTATTATTGCAAACATTCGCATGACGCGGTCGGAGGATTCTAAGCCAACCTAGGACGACCCCCTCCACCTTCCGCGAGGGCTTTCACTTCGTCCTTGACGCTTTCAACCTACAGCCAGTATTCGACATTCTATGCAAACAAACACAGAATACGAAAAGGAACACATGCCCATTCATGTATTCTCAAGTTCCTACCTCCTTTTCTTCTGGGAAAAAAGGCTATATATGCCTTTCCAGTCAAAGCTATTTTTAAACAGATTTATCCCTGGGTCGAGATTGGATTGGAAATCCGGTAGCATAGTGTCATTCACACTGCGCCTGATTTGAATCGTCGCCCTCGGGCGTTCAAAGGAGGGTCCATTCTTGGGCATCTGTCTCACTCCCCGAGCGAGCTCCTTCCGAAAGTCTTCATCTCATTCATCATATTTGAATATCGCACAAGAGAGATCGACAGGGTCGAGATAAGAAAATTTGAATTCAGAGAAAAGGAAGACTTTGCCGTGTTCAGAAGAGTGCCAGATACCTGGATAGCTGTTGGATTTTTACCGAACACGGCAAGAGACCGTATGAAGACCGACCACTGCATCGATACGAATCCTTGTCTTGTTCAGATGCGTCGAGATAAATACATGTTCGACTGCATTCTTAAAGCTGCGTGACACTTGACGGCAAGTGATCCAGAAGTCAGAGAATTTCATAGCAAATGTCCAAAGGAGTGTCCTGAAAAGTCCCAGCGGACGACGAGGGCATGATCAGAGTCAAGAGTAAACTTGGACGCTACCACGTCTGATCTCTAAAATGTCTATCCCCAGCGATCCCTTTGTCCATGTTCGACAATGGGACAATAAGGCACGTAATGATAAATATTCGCCATACATACAGTTGTGGAAGCCTTTTGCAGCTTCCGTTGACGATGCAGTTGAGTGGCAGATAACGCACATCAGTGTACATGACCGATCTACCCATACGGCACTATAGCCAAGTGGTTAAGGCGACAGATTAGAATCTGATAAAGACAATCGATCTGTTACTCTTTGAGTGCGCAGGTTCAAATCCTGCTGGTGTCGTTGAGGCGGTGTCCGAAAACCTTTTGAAAATTAGGCGAAAGTTGATTCTTGAGACTTGTCACTTGAACTTGTCAGTGATCAGTTATTACTGATGCTGTCAGATCATTGATACTATTTTCAACTTTCAGGTCCCGATATAATATATTTGATTATCAACCGGGAGTTAGGCCAGTCGAGCTTCAAGAGCCAGCATTTAGCGCAGCCGCGCCGGTCTCACGTATTATTTTGTTAGTGGCTTTTAATGAAAAGCCAGGTCTTTTGAAATATTGGTTGCCTGTGCCACGTACAGTGCCACCGGGCGTCAAGGTTTTTGACGGCCATTCTTCAGCGTGATGAGAGCACGATCTCGCAATGGCATCGTGTCGGTGCGAGCCTGAATAGTTGCTCTCTGGGTCCATATACGTCGACCGAGCCTCCGCGTAACGCACAATGGTGAAGTTCCCTGCTGCGCCTGTTTACTCTCCTTCCCATGTTGACCTATTCTTTTGCGCTCGAGAGGTGGGCAATGGGTCTATTCTATAGCTGGACGGCACAAACCTTGCTTTGGGTCCTGATGTGCTCCTAAACAATAATCATTAATCCTATCCTACATTTGGGTATCTATCTTGCCGCTTCCACCATCGCCGCCGTATGATCCCAGAGTTTTTGTCTCTGCTCTTCATCGCCATAGTATCGCTTCTTTCCCATATCTTCGCCTTTGCTGCCGACTCTAAACGCGCCTGGTGCCTTTTGCAGGGTCCCGTGCCACATGTACTCTGCGCAATCGCTTGGGGAGATCGTAAATGGATACATCAGACCCATGATGAGCGGTGCAGTGTATCGAAATACGGCGGAAGGAGATGCATAGACGTAGTTCGTACGCACAGCTCCAGGGAAGGCGTGGATAAATGAATGGGAGGGGTACCGCTGTGCAAAGGCCTATACGTGCGTTAGTGATTAGAGTACTGAGTACAAGGGATAGGGATACACACCTCGGACATCAAATCGAGATATGTCGGCATTCTCAGCCCCACTTTTACGGCAGAATAACTCTTTTTCATATCCAGGTCATCGACATCAATGCTCCCTCCATTTCCAGGTGCCATGACGGACACCACCTTGGAACCCTCGTCTTTCAACGAACCTAGTAAATCCTTCACAAACTTCCATTTCGCATAATATGCGACCGCCATTTTCCTGTCCATTCCCTCCTTTGTCTCTTCCCTTCCCGCGGTGGTGAGATATCCGGTCGTGAGGACGAGAAAGTCCACCTTGTGTTCCCCGAGATGCTTCTTCACCTCCTCTGTAGCACTGGCGACGTTGGACATGAGGCTGGCGTCGCATGAGACGAATTCGCGGATGGGTTTCACTGATGAAGACGGATGAGGGAATGAGTCGATGATCTCCTGTGCGGCTTTGGCATTTCGTCCGACAATGATGATGTTGGCGTTCCCTTGGGTATGCGAGGCGAGCGACTGGGCCATGGCTTGACCGATTCCGGCGGTGCCCCCAAAGAAGACGGCGGTGGGTGTAGTCAGGGAGGAAAATATGGCGGCGTTGGATGCTCGTATACTGGCGATGGACATGGTAGCGGTAATCGTTTCATTTGGCAGAGGAGATGGTTAAGTATACAGTTTCTGCCGGCGACATGACGCGTACTAAATCGCGTGTCTGTCCGGCACGATGACCAAACCCGGCGTGGGAATCCGAGGCAGTTCATTCGCCAACCATAAAGGAGATAAGAAAAGAGTATCAGTCGGCCTAGGTTTGAACTGACCCTAAGCATGCTGAGCAATCCAGGTCAAGGTCGAATGTTCGGGCCTGGCAGGTTCTGAGAATAATTCTTTTGAATTTACAATTTTCCTTAAAGTAGTGGCTGTGCTGTATTCTTCTTGCCACCGACAGCCATGAACTCAACGTGCTCACCGTGCTCTGAAGAAGTCGTGGCACTCTACCCTCTTCGCCTAGGACCCATGGTATCTAGTGCCAAAGACCAGGCCACTAGACCGAACCAAGTTCTGATCACGATGGGATTGGGAGGAGCGTGCTGGCCCGAGTGGATGGATGATGAGCTTGAGACATGACTTGAAATCTTTTTATTCAGCACTGGTACGAGGATCTCACCTTTTAAGCTACTTTCGCATGCTCATGAGCGTCCAGACGTTAAAAAAGAGACAATTCGGCCCGCCCATTCTCAAGCTCGTGCTGATCTTTCTTATCGCCTATTCTCTATTCTCGGTTACACTCTCGGCCCGCTCAAAGCCCAATGAAAGGAGGAGGTTAACGCTGGGGAGAGGAGATTTACCGCGTCGCTGGCAGCTGCTACCCGTGCGTATCAAGTGCTCATCGGCCCTTGTCTCTTCAGATCGACGCGCATGAATAATGCGATGCTAAGACGTGGTCTTTGCTTACAATCTACTGTTCGGCAAGACTGTCTCTGGTACTGTATCAGCGTCACACGAACACTTAATCCTCGCGACAATTTATCATCAATAACATTCACTCGCTTTGGTGGACCAGCAAAGTGGCGCTCACGACAGGCGACGACCTGCGTATCCATCCACCAGCCGCCTTTCACCTGCCAACCAGGCTCTATAATGCATAGCTAGTGATTCGTAAACTACCGACTGCCTGCTAAATTCACCTTTCTTGTCTTTTATACCATCACGTTCCGCTTGGTCATGCACCACGTTCGACTCTTAGAGCCAAAGTCAGAATGTATCGGTGTTGAAATGAAAATCTTTGCTGCTAGTTCTTGCCCGTGACAACGTAACATCGCTTAAAGAAGCCGCAGAGGAAGTAATCCACAAAACAGCACCATCTCTCTGTTTTCAGTTCGGTGAATGAATGTTAGCATACTAGCTGTCAGAATGTATAATAGCTGAATGCAATCAAGGCATCATCTCTATTGAGGAGCACCATATATTAATAGGGCTTGACTATCACTTAAGGCACTATAGCCAAGTGGTTAAGGCGACAGATTAGAATGGTCTTATTGAAAGGGCAAGTCATCTGTTACTCTTTGAGTGCGCAGGTTCAAATCCTGCTGGTGTCGTGTTATAAAACCATCTTTTCGTTTTTCGGTGCACTTTTTTTGCTAAGTTTTAAGTTTTAAGTTTTGACTTTGGAGTTTTCAAGAATCAACCTTTAACTTTCGAGCTTTCACTTACGTTTCTGAAATTTGCCTTTGTGAATCATGGATGATGATTCCGAAATTTGAATTCACATATCTGATACAACACAGACTCCGCGTCCAGTCACCTGTATGTATTATAGCAGTCAACATTTTTGAGCCGAGTCTTTGCCTATATTGAAACACGGAATTATGGACCTTCAGCTATACAGTGGCTCCACAAGACACGCAACTGTGAAAACCGATCTCCGAGATCTACACTCAAGTTAACCTCCACGTTTTTCATGGCCTACTTCTCCACTACATCTGGCAACAGGCAAGTTGAATCCTGGAGATGAAGTTATATGAGCATCACTTGAAATTGTTCTTGCTCCAAGTATAGCCCACTCAATCTTCATAATAGCGTTGTCGCTTTGGCTCATATGCATTCCATACCCAGGCCGAGTTCAATACAACTTCTTCTTAGAACCATGACGCATAGAAAGCAAGATATACCGTAAAGACCGTCCATAGCATATGTATTCCCAGACAATCCTCATTCACTGCCACCATTAGTCAGTCTGTGGGAGGGTCCATCTCCAAAGGGAAACGACCCCGAGATGTTTCGTTGCAACCTCTACCACAGCCGCTGCTGTCAAGACCCATCCACAACCACAGAATCCGCCGGCTTCTCAACCATACCCTACGTCCTTATCACGGGCTCCACGCTCATCAGAAACAGAAACCCAATCGAACAAGAACTAGAGATGCGGGTGAGCATCACGAGGTAGGTTACTCTTAACTCCCTGATGAGAGTGTCGCCATGCAGCAACGTAGAAGGGGATGAGCTTCGCTAGCTGGGTGAGATAGGACAAATATCGGGATAGCAACTCGTGGTGTCTCCGTAAGTACTGTTACTCGTCTAGGGGCGTTGGCCGATGTCTTCCAAAGAGACGGTGCATCTTTCAGAGTCAGGCTCGAAGACATCATCGGTGTTACTAAGAATCGAAGCCGGAAGTGAGAGTCAAGCACCCCGCCAGTCTTGATCACTAGTTTCTCGTGGCTCTTGACGAATGCGTCAAACGCGCTCGTGTCAAGGGGGGCGAGAAGGGGAGACGATTATAATGAGAGCCAAACGAGGAGAAAATGCTATACAGTTCTCGAGGAGCTGACTGGTTTGACAAACACCGTGCTGACGGGAGCGAGAAAAATCCTGGGGAAGGGGCGAACGAGGGATTTAAGTGGAAACAATTGGATACTCACACACCACACGATCGGCTTGAATATCCCTTCTCTCCCACGGCACTACCCCTTTGTGCCTATGGGCCCTATGTCTTTTTGTCCACTTGAATACTAGTCTTGGTTGCCGCACAAATATAACGTCTATTCTTAGGCCCGCGCCCGCGGTCCTCCTGGAAAGTACAAGCTCCCGATCTGGCAGAGCAAATAAATACTGCAGGTCAGCATAGCGTTCGCCCTTGATGTGTACTTCATTCCAGAGCGAGGAAGGGTGAGACAGCCGAATTCGACGAAGCCGAGGGCCAGGCAAGTCGGTTTGTAAATATGGATCATCAGGCTCCTTGCGAACGACACGCATAGTGACGACTCTGTCGGACGTATGTGCGTTTCCGTTGATGGATAAGAGGTATGGACAACGGTACGAGAAGAGTCGTCAAATTTGAGGAGAACGATGTCATTATTGCGAGCCTAGCAAACGAGGCGTAATGTTTAGGCTGACGAACACAAACTTGGAAAGCGATTAACATACCTTCTGTGCAGCGCCTAGTGTCAACAGATTTGTATGCTATTCCTGGGAGACAAGTCACGTTGGACTAGTATGTATATCGAGCGGCACGTTCTACGATATCAACTCGTCAGTTCAGACCTCGGGCCTCGTTTAGCAAAGTCTCTTACGTTTATATAAAACCATTGCCATGTACTAAACGGACTATACGAAGCATGCATAGAACCCATCGAGCCTGCACGGTTGTCTGCAAACTATTGAATCACTGGCAATCGCAAATCTGCGCACGCATATCAGAAACAGTAAAGCTATCCGACTACGTGGCTGACCGACGAGAATTGGGCCAAATTTGAAGGCCTCATTTTGTTCTTGCCGGAAACACAGCGACTAGAAATGGTGTTGAAGTCTTACTGTGTCAGTTCCACCTATGTCTAGGATTCCGCCCAATACTTGACCAGGTGCGTCTGCGGTCGAGTACGAGGGATCACCGAGTTCTGACGCGTCAGGTCAGAACCTTGGAGGGAGTCTACCGCCTTAGAACCGGCACCAGGTGTGCGATTGGCGTTGAAAGCCAGTCCGGTATCTTCGGGTCGTACCTTCGCATAGAGACTTACGTGAATATTCATGAGGTAGCGACACTCTTCCAGCCGATAGAGCAGGTGAGCGGGACTGGTTGGGGCACACGATAATGGGCCTCTGAACCACGCACTATAAAATTCGGGGGTGCGTCGTTGTGGAACCTACGAGTCCTAATCTGATTTTGGCTGAAAGAAAAGACAAGGTAAGGACGCACCATTGTCATCTCGACGAATATATGATGCCTGTGTTACCTCCAACTGAAAGGGCTGGTGATGGTGCAGGTGTGCAACGGTACAGTTACTCACACTTATAACACTCTAATACACTAACCCGGCAAGTTCGTGGGGGCAGAGGAACGTTCGTTATGTAGAACTTTGTACTTTATTAGATTTCCGGGTTGCAATATAATTGGATTTTAAAGGTCTGTTCTGACCGGGTAGGATTTATTCTTGTTTATCTGAAACACAAAACACGAGTATCTACTGAGATACCAGATTCTGCACTGAGTTGCAAGAATCTCTGAACCGGGCTGACTGACTGACTGACTCTGACTGACTGACTGGCTCTGAGGTACAAACTTTCAATACTGATTCTGACTCTTTCTGAGGGTACTTGCTAAAGCGAACTTAATTGTGATTTACTTTCAAATTCTATTGAGTCTAGGACTCGAAGCTCTAACCTAAATTCCTGTGGGTATTACTACCGTAGCTGGGGGCCAGGAAACTTGACCCAGTGACATGCTTGCAACGTGTCTACGCGTGTAATTTTGCGAAATGTATCAATACATGCATTGCATAATGGCTAGGTACTGAGATAACGAAAGATACAGATAGAGCGCAGTGCTATATGCATAGAGCGCAGTGTCAGACACACAGAGTGCAATGATATATGTATGGAGCACAATATAGAGTTGCGCGCAGTACGGCCTTGGGTGACAATTGGTAGAGTGCATGCTCTAACTTAGAATGATACTAGTTGAGGTCACACTAAGTATGAGAGCTCAGCACTGGATACTGAATGCACTAAGATGCAGATCAGCCATGCGCTCTAAGGAATTGATGAGAGACAGGCATGATACAAGGAGAACTACATTGATCTATGACACATGCCGCGTGTGTATAGGAACATAGAGGTAGAGTGCATGAAAAGACGCACGCTGTGCGTGTAGATGGAAATAGACATGGAGCGCAGTGATATATGAGTTGAGCGCAGTGTCAAACCAATAGAGTCAAACCAAGATAGTGCACAGTGTAACAATGCGCGTGCATGCAAGTCGTCAGTGACAATTAGTAGAGTGCATGCTCTCACTTAGAATGATACTGGTTGAGGTCACACTAAGTATGAGAGCTTAACACTTGATATTGAATACACTAGAGGCAGATCAGATATGCGCTCCAATGAATTGATGAGAGACAGACATGATATGAGAAGGATTGATCTGCCACGCGTGTTGCGCGCATATATAAAAATAGCCATAGAGCACAGTAATATCAACATCGCGTGTGGTATAACAACGCGTGCATGCGCACGCAAGTCTGAAGTGATTATTGGTAGAGTGCATGCTCTAACTTAGTATGATACTTCATTGAGGTCACACTAAGTACAAGAGCTCAGCACTCAATACTGAATGCACCAGAAGCAGACTTCATATGCACCCTAATGCATTACTGAAAGACATGCATGAGAACTACGTGACACAATGATCTATGACGTACAGGGCCTGATGGCATGGCACGCATGCGCGTGTCCCAAATAATGCCTGAGGATAGATAACTCCGAGAGAACCCAGTTTGGCCAAAGAGCGCAGTGCCTAGGCATACCACGGGTATCCCCCACCAACCAGAGAAACCTAGAAACTCAACATTTGAATGAGATACAGTGTATATGATTGGTTGTCACTCCAAGTATCCTCCGAGGAAATGATGAGTGACATGCCAACACATAGAGAGCAGTGCGAGTGGAGTATCAACCATGAGGAAACAGAGTCTGGTCTCGAGATAGGCCTCCAACCAAGTGTCCAGCCCCGGGCATGCTATAACAACGCGCACACGTTGCGAGGAATAATGTTCCGAGGTTCTAACAGTACTGTATTAAGTTGTATCGACGTGTATGATGTAGAATTGTATAAATACTGTAGTGTAGATGTAGAGTACAAGTTTCGAGCCCACGGTGTAACAGTGCAAAGCTTTTCAGCCACGTGCTCTAGCACTTAGAGTAGCTAGTAACTTCGAGAGAGAATACAACCCATATCAGATATCTATTGTGTGATTTAAGTCACGCACTTAGACAAGAAAATAGTGCGGCACTCCGTGCAGAGAGTCTGGTTTCGGTTTGACTTGCGTTCTGTGAGAGAATAAGAGTATGGTGTCTTGAAGGTCACCCTTTCGAGTTCTTGAGGGCATTTGTGTGACGCGAGGCATTACAGGCGCGGAGGTTCAAACCCTTTGGCTTGTTGGATGGGGTTTCTCTGGATTGCATAGGTTCGAATCCTGTGAATCTACGATCGGTTGGAAGCTCGAGCATGTAGGTTCAAACCCTGTGGCTCTTGTGGAAGTTTCGGAGTTTTCTGTCAGTGTAGACACTTCTCCACATGTTTGTGAAGGTTTTGGTTTAGCGCGCG